CGGCGTTGAATCGCCTTTGTATGTTCGATTGGCGTCCTGTTCCTTACACTCCGAAATTTGAGTTTCGTTTTCGCCCTCTTTGTCCAATTGAGATCATTGATATCCCAAGACAATCTGTGACGTGCGAACTCAAGTTTCCAAAGCCTTCAGAAGATACTGTTGTGCGGGAGTATTCGGAGGCGCTTCGCAACCGACTGAGTCCAGAGCGAAAGCGTATCTTCGATGGTTTGGTAGCAGAATATGTTCAGCGTCAATGGTGGACTAAAGTTGAGAAGGGTACTGTGGACTCTCCGTTCAAAGCGAATGTTTCTCTGCTTGGTGGCGAAGGGATTCCTGGTGCCCGTAAAGGCCGCTTAGTTTGTGATTTTAGATCTGCTAATATGTTGTTGCCTGATGCTTCCAGCTTTGTCCCTTCTACGGCGGCTATATTTGTGCGATTAATGATCGCCTTCCCTACCATTTTATTGGTGGGGGATGCAACTGCCGCGTTTTATCATGTGAGAGTTTATGGCTCTCAGATGTTGTTGTGTGCTGGCAGTGATGTCTTTGTGAGTGATAGACTCACGTTTGGAGTGAATGTGGGTCCAGCCAAAGGGAGGACTTGCATCCTCCCTTTGTGCTAGTGAGGAGGAGTTGGCATGTGATTTTGGGAGCGACCTTTTCGAGTTGGTGGTCGATGATTATATGTTTGCTGATAGAACCGTGAAGGTTCCTGTCCGTGACCTCTCCCTTTGGCTCAACACTCTTGAAGCTGGTGGTCAACATACGCCTTATCGTAAATTTTCTGCTTTGTCTACTCCGGAACTGCGAGAAGAGTTGCAGAAGGCGCTCTCTGATCGAGGAGTGACGTGCTCAATCGAAGAAACCGGGAAGTACCTCGGTGTTAATCTTCGATTTTCTGGTGGTTCCCTAGTGTTGGTATGTGAACGCCTGGCTCGGCTCAATCAAGCGGCCGATAAGGCTGAGGAGATACTGAAGTCGTCATCCTTCACTCGACGAGAGATCTTTGGGCTAGCTGGTCTATTGGGGGTAGATCCACTCCTCCAACATTCTATTGATCGAGCACTTGCTGACGCCTTGAGAAGTGTGGCTGGAATGAGCTCGGTTCATCTCTCCTCGTGGGATGCTTTGATTCCTATAGTGTCTTCTCCGGCTATGTTACCCTTGTTGAAATGGGTTATTGAGAGAAGAGAGGTTGCTGGTCCGTGTGCGCATCGTGTAGGCCTTCCGCTACCAGAAAGAGGCATTCTGTTGTTGCAGTCTGCGTCCGATGCCAGTGTTTCTGGGGGTGGCTATGTTATCGATTATGTGGTGAATGGTGATACGACCGTTATGTTGCGAGA